CATTGCCAAGCAAAGTAGGATGGACACGGTAACACGATGGAAACCCAAGTGCTCACTTCGCGGTGGCCTTGAGCTTCTTGGCGAGGCTCTGGGCATTGGCCAAATGCCGCTTGAGCCGATCACGCAGGACAGGAGCATCATCATCATCATCCACGTCGCCTGGCGCGGGTACATCGAGCCCACAGCTGCGAAGATGCTTACGGCAAGTGGGCGCGTCCATCTCGTCGATGTGTTTGTTGGCTTCTTCCTCTTGATCGACAGCCATCTCCTTAACATCCTCGTCGTCCTGGTCGTCGGGCTCGGCCGCAGGTGGTGGCGGTTGGTGCGCCGCTGCTGGTTCCTGCTCCAACTTTGCGACCATCTCCGCCATTGCCTGCATGCCAGCAGCGAAACGCTCAGAGCCACCAAGAGATTGCAGCACTTCGCCCAGCTGAGACACAGTGGACTTGAGGCCAGGGATGACCGTGCTGAGCGTTGGCGGCTTCGCCTCGCCACCGACAGGAAGTCCACGCGCCACGATTTCCCGCAGCTCATTCTCCAGGGAGAGCAAGTTGGTGGCGGCCTCGGATTCGGCGGCCTCGGCCTTGGCCAGGGCTTCCTTTGCCTTCTCGACCGCTTCCTTGGCTGCCTGGACCTTGGCAGCACAGTTGGCCTTCTTTTTCCGAGCTTCCGTGACCTTCCGATTCTGGGCACTGACGTTGCTCTCGAGCGGCTTCTCGGACTGCAGTTGCTCCTGCAGGGAAGTGCGCTCCGCCAGAAGCTTGGCGCGGTACTCGGCATCCGAGGTCCCCAGCGACTTGAGAATGTTGCCAATCTCTGCCAGACGAGCGCGCCGTGCAGCCTGAGGACTGGCGTCGGTGGCCCAGGGCGGGACTGGAGCAGACGCGGCGCCGGTTTCAGCCGACGGCTGCTGCAACTGCTGCAACTGGCGCTGAAGGTCGGCGAGCTGTCGTGCCAGGGCAACTTCACGCTGAGACTGCAACGCTGGGCTGCGCGCCACGGGGACCTTGGGCGGCGGCACTCCTCCGAACGCCGACCCCTTGGGCAAGTTGCATAGCGCGCACCACTTGTGATCAGCACGATTGATCCAAGCTGTCCCCGTGGGCTTGTGCACGCACCACTTGCACTTCCAAGGCTGCGCGTTCTCGACACGCTGCTTGGGTCCCATTGCGCACAGCACCACAGGAGAGACACTAGCCACCGACCAGCGCACAGCCTAGTCGTGGCGACGACACTGGTGAGGGAGCCCAACCCCTCGGTGTAGGCGAAGAAACTGTCGAGCGCAAGCGCTCTGGCACTGCCGCGGACTAGCGGTATCCGTGAATGCCAATACGGGCTCAGCCCGCAACAGCATGAGCCTTGAGCCAAAATGGCTACGGAGGGAGGAGGAGGAGGAGGAGGAGGAGAAGGGGGAGGAGGTGGAGAAGGAGGAGGAGGAGGACGAGGAGGAGGAGCCGCAGGAGCACGAGCACGAGGAGCTGCTGCAGCATGGGTAGGTGGAGAGGAAGGGAAAGGAAAGAAGGGAGGAGGGAGATGGAACGGGGAAGGAGGGGAGAAGAGGGGGGAGAGGAGGCACGAGGAGGATCAGAAGACGAGGGAGAGAGAGGTGGGAGGAGTAAAAAAAAGAGGAGTCGAAGGAAGAACGGGAGGAGGAGGGCCCCCGGTACGATGGACTGTGGGAGAGGGGAGGCCCCAGAGAGTCCGCAGGGGATGGACATAGGATCAGAGTGGAGGCCGTATGCAGAGGGTTTACGAATTGAGTCCTCGTGTTGCGGGTTGCGGCATGGAGTAAATGTGCGACATGTATGCACACAGATGCCTTGCATAACGGGTTGTAGGTTGTTAGCGTGCGCGACAGATATGCAAACACAACAGTGTGTACCATAGTGGTACGTCAATTCCTCGGTGGCGAAGGTACAACAAATTTTTGTGGATGGAAGAATGGGTTCAAGATCAAGCAATTGCAAAACATGTATATAAACAACTACCAACAACAAAAAAAAAACAAAAACAAAAAAAGAGGGAAGCCGAAGGAGCTACGAATTGATGGTTCGACCCCACAAAACACCGAAATCACTGCGAGATTATACTGTGGAGGTGAGAGAGATTCGGTGCAAACTATGTGGCGGCGAAAGCTGTACCGTGCAAGCTGTATGGTGTGACATATGAAGGTGAATACTATGCAGTGTTACGATGTGGTGTGTAAGCCAGGCAGCTTGAGCTGGGAATGAAAGCTATGGGGCGTAAACGATGTGACGTAAGCCATGTTGTATAAAATATGCGGTGTGAGCTACGTGGTGTAAGCTACCCCCCAGAGGAGAAGAAAGAGGACAGGAAGAATCGAGGAGGGAGGAGGCCACAGAGCCGCGGAGATCACCGAATACGGAGCCCCCCGGATCGGCGGCACTGGCCGGAGGCCATTACAATATGCGGTGCGAGCTACGTGGTGCAAGCTATGAGGTGTAATTTAATCTTGACCGTCTTGAAGCTGTCCGCTCCACTGCTCGTGCAAACATCCCACCCTCCCACCCGCAACTTGGTCGCAAGACCTCTTCAGACAAGACCGTGACGGTAGGTAACACATGGCACTTGGCCTCGACACCGACGCCGACGACGACAGCGAAGTCGACGACGACGGCGCCGCCGACACCGACTGCGACGACACCGACGACGTCTCCTATGTTTTCGACGACGACAACGACGACGACGACACCGATGACGACGACGGCAACGACGCCGACGACGACAACGAAGACGACGACGACGTCGCCAACGGAGACGACGACGAGGGAAGAGAAAAAACGACGACGGAGACAATGACGACAACGACGATGGAGGAGGGAAGACGGCGACGACGCCAACGACGAAGAAGGAGGAAGGACGGCGACGCCGACGAAGACAACGACGAGGGATGAGGGAAGACGACGACGACGACAACGACGACGAAGACGACGACGACGGCGACGAAATAGGAGGGACGACGACGAGACGCCGACGACGGACGACGACGACGACGAGGGAGGAGGATAACAACGAGGGAGGAGTGAAGACCACGACGATGACGACGACGACGACGGCGACGAAATAGGAGGGACAACGACGAGACGGCACGAAGACGACGAGGGAGGAAGGACGACCACGGCGACAGCGACGACGGAAGCGACGACGACGCCAAGACGACGACGACGACGAGGAAAGACAGAAGACGACGACGGCGACGACGACGAGGGAGGAGGGAGGACGACGACGACGACGACGCAAGAGCGCGCGCGCGCACGCTTTTGTTGAAAACCCGTGTTGCGAAATCTTGTGTTTTTGTAGGTTTTTTGGACGCACGATTTTGAAATCTTTCCGAAACCGAAGGTTTTTGAAGGATTTCGGCATACGCCCGCGACGACGCGCGCGTCTGCACTTCGTCCTTTTTTTTGCAGAAATTTTTCGCGACGGCACAAGCGCAAGGGCGTTCGACAGATTTCGACATGCGCGCGCGAAGCCCGTTTGGTAGCATTTTGTGAAAATCTTGAAACACCGATGGTTTTCTTCAGATTTCGCAAGAGCTCGCGCGTAAGCTTGTTTAGCAAATCAGTGTTGCGAAACCCTGCGTTTTTGTATGTTTTTGGGGAAATTCGATTGCGAAATCCTTCCGGAACCAAAGGTTTTTGAAGGATTTCGGCATGCGCGCGCGCGACGACGCGCGCGTGTGCACTTCGTCCCATGTTTTGCAAGGGATGCGCGAAAAAGTGCTATGTTAGAACAAAAAATGCCACCGCATAGTGTTTTTTTACTAGGGACCCTCAGGGGGGGGGGAAACCGGCCTGGCTGGGATGGTATGATTTCATATTTCGGATGGACGAATGTGCAGAATATATCTGAAATCATACTATCCCAGGGGGAGCTGATAAGTCCGGGGGGGGTAGAGTCTATTCTCTATTTAGAAAGGAGAATATATGTGGTGAACGCTGTGTCGTGTAAGCTCAGAACACGGGGCACCCCACGAGGCGCCTACAAGGCGGCACGGGCGGCGGCGTGGCGCAGCCGCGGGGAACCCGCCCAGCGCGGCAACGCTGCGAAAACCAGGCAACACACATCGAATCAGCTAAGAAACTCAGAACTCCTGAGTGCAAGCAAGCACTGCCTGGAGAAAATAGCATCCCTAAACAAAAGGTGTTGCTGGCACTTGTCCTGGAAAACAGTCGGGGCCCTGACGTCGTTGATTGTGTCGCTGGGGAAGGATGCTGTTCGAGTGTATTCGTTCATGCTTCTGCCTTCTTGGACGTCTAGCCTCCTTTCCGCAAGAGAAACGGAGAGAGCGAGGCACAATTGCAGAGAGAACGGAAAGCAGGAAAGAAGGAGGAGGAGGAGGAGGAGAGGTGAAAGGCGCGCGTGCCTTGAAGCGGACCTGCGTGGGGCGTTGCTCTGAGCGGCAGCAGTACAGCACAACCCTCATCCCCCCTCTCCCCGCTCGCGCCCGCACGCGAGCGCCGCCTCTCCTCTCCCCCCTCTCCCCCCTCCCTCTCCCCTCTCCTCCCTCTCCTCCGCTTCCTCCTCCTCCTCCCCCCGCTCGCGCCCGTGCGCGGCCTGTGCCTCCTCCCCCGTGCCAGGCCGTCGGACGCGGCACCGCGCGCGAGCGCCCAAGTCGGAGTGGGTGGGGCCCGCTGGCTCGCTCGACCTGTCCAGCTCTAACTTCCTCCCACTCCTCCTCCTCCTCCTCCCTCCTCCTCCTCCTCCTCCTCCTCCTCCTCCTCCTCCTCCTCCTCCTCCTCCTCCTCCGTCTTGGTTTTGTCCAACCTCTGGACGTCTGGGCCCAGAGGGCCATCTTGAGGCCAGCTGGCCTGCACTGCCTCCCCTCCGACCCTCTGAGACCAGGCTGGCGCCGCCTCCTTTCTCCTCCCCCGCCCCGCGGACTGACTTCGACGGCAACTACAGCGCTGACGACGACGACCACCACCAACACGACGACGACGACGACGACGACGACGACGACGACCACCACGGGGCGCCTCGGCGGACTCGCCCAGCGCCACTCCGACAGCGGCGAGGGCAGCGAACCGCTCTTCGCGGTCCTCTCATGGGCCGCCGCCGCCGCTCCGCCGCCGCCCCGCGCACGCGTCGCGTGGCCGACCGAGGATCGGCCGTCCTCTCCGCGTCGTTGTCATCGTGGCCTGTCGGTGGCCTTCCCGGGACCTTCGGCGGCCAACGGGGGGCCAAGGGTGGTCTTCGGAGGCCTTCGTCGTAGCTGGGCGCGGTCGTCGTCTTCGTCGTCGTCGCCGCCGCCGCCGCCGTCAAACTCGTCGACGCCGATGCCGCCGTCGAAATCATCGCCATCGTCGTTGAAATCGTCGAATCGTCGTCATCATCGTCAGGACAGGGAGGAGGGAGGGAAGAGGCAAGAGCAGGAGGGAGGGCGTTGAAGGAGTAAGGAGAGCGAGTGTGGGGGAGGAGGGAGGAAGGTGAACGAGGAGGGGGGATGTGGGAAGGAAAGGAAGGATGGCGAAGGAGGAGAATGGAGGTACGAGGGGGAAGGGGGAGGGAGGGAGGGGGGGAGGGAGGGAGGGAGGGAGGGAGAACCAGGAAGTAGGGAGAAGCGAGGAGCGAGGACAAGGGAGGGGGGAGGGACGAAGGCGAAGGAGGAGGAGGAGGAGGAGGAGGAGGGAGGAGGAGGAGGAAGAGGAGGAGGAGGAGGAGGAAGAGGAGGAGGAGGAAGAGGGAGCGCTTTGAGTGGCAACGGCGGTGGCGCCAGCACTTGGGTCAGCGCTGGCGTGGGCTGGTGTGGCAACGGCCAGGGCACAGGAGCGCTGGGGCGCGAGGCTGGCAATGAAGGGAGTTGGGCGGACGGACCGCTGGGGAAGAGAAGTGGGCTGGCGGGCTCTGGATTAACGGCGGTCGAGAGAGGGGGACTGGTTTCGAGGGGGGGGCAATGACCTCGAATCGGCGATAAGTATATGTATAGAGAGAGATATACACATATAAATATACATATACAGTTACATATACATGTACATATACATATACCTATACCTATACATATACACATATACACATATATATATAAATATATATATATATATACATATACCTATACCTATACATATACATATACATATACATAAAAATAAACATAACCATATACCTATACATATACAAATACCTATACATATACCTATACCTATGCAGATACATGTACATATACATACACATATACATATACATATACATATACATATACATTTACATTTACATTTACATTTACATATACATATACATATACATATACATATACCTATACAAATACGCATACAAATACAAATACATATACATATACATATACCTATACATATACATATACATATACCTTTACCTATGCACATGCATATACATATGCATGTACATATACATATACATATGCGTATACATATACGTGTACATATACATAAACATATACATATACATATACACATACATATACATATACATATACATATACATATACATATGCATATACATATGCATATGCATATGCATATACATAAACATATACATATACACATACATAGACATATACATATGCGTATACACATACATATACATATACATAAACATATACATATACACATATATATACATATACATATACATATACATATACGTATGCATATACATATGCATATGCATATGCATATGCATATGCATATACATATATATATATACATGTACATATATATACACATATACATATACATATAAATATACCTATACATATACCTATACAGTTACATGTACCTATACATATACATATATATATACATATACATATACATATACCCATACCTATACATATATATATATATATATGTATATATAAATAGTATCATACGCACCTCTCTGAGGGAGTAGAGCTCAGAGGCGATTGATGCGTACGCGCAGCGTTGTTCGCGATGATTCTGGCCGTTTCGCTAGGGACATCGTCGAAATTCTGAAAATCAGTGGCACCCATCACACAGATCGTGACGTCAGGGTCCAACAACACATTGGAATTTCAACCGTTCAACATGAAACCTTCAAAAACACATTGAAATTTCAATGATTTCGACCCCGATTCTCAGGGAATGGCGGTTTCGCTTGAGACAACCTCCCAAAATCGAGCCCCGACGTACCCTCTGGTACCCCAGACCCCGCTCCTGAAAATCGGGGGCACCCTTGTAATTTCAATAATTTTGACCCCGATTCTCAAAGAATGGCGGCTTCGCTTCGCTTGAGACAACCTCCCAAGATCGAGCCACGAGGTGCCCTCTGGTACCCCAGACCCCGCTTCTGAAAATCAGTGGCGCCCCTCACACAGATCGTGACGTCAGGGTCCAAAACCAGTTTGGAAGTTCAACATGTTAACATAAAACCTTCAAGAACACATTGCGATTTGAATGTTTTTGACCCCGATTCTCAGAGAATGGCGGTTTCGCTTGAGACATTGCTCCCAAATCGAGCCCCGACGTACCCTCTGGTACCTCAGACCCCGCCTCGGAGCCTCCTGGGGGCCTCCTGGAACCTCCTGGGGCCTCCTGGGCCTCCTGCGGCCTCCTGGAGCCTCTTGGGGCCTCCTGGAGCCTCCAGGGGTCTCCTGGGGCCTCCTGAGGCCGCCTGGGGCCTCCTGGGGCCTCCTGGGGCATCAGAACTACATGCACACACAGAGACACAAATCACACCCAACACATCACACGCTAGACAAACATAACACATACAACACCTACAACGCACAGAAAACACGCACAACACAGAGCACACATCCCACACACACACACACACACACACACACACACACACACACCCACACAACACTCACAGTCCTGGAGCCTCCTGGAGCCTCTTCCGGCATCCTGGTCGGGCCTCCTTAGGCTTCCTTGGGAGCCCCTGGTACACACATCGCAAGGTGTGGCAACCCCACTTGCGCTCGCGTGCGACCTCGCTATTGCATTTCACACCACATCTAGTGAAACAAATCGGCTGGTGGGAATCGTGCTTATACTTCTCTTGTTAATCGCTTCGCTGACTCCGCAAGCCCATCTTGCATCACTGGTGCTATATGGTCGTGTGCTTGTGGCGAGCCAGCTGGAGCCTCTTCCGGCCTCCTGGTCGGGCATCCTGAGGCTTCCTGGGGGCCCCTGGTACACACATCGCAAGGTGTGGCAACCCCACTTGCGCTCGAGATGCCCTGTCCCGTGGTGGTCTGGCCATTTTCGCCTACGACATCCTCGCAACTCTGGGTTCCAAGATGCTCTGAACTGAAGTGCTCAGGCCACTTTCGCCTGAGACATCCCCGCAACTCTGGGTTCCAATATGCTCTGAGCTGAGGTGGACAGGCCACTTTCGCCTGATATATCCTCGCAAAGCTGACCTCGGAGAGGCATTGCCCTGGTCGATCGTCCTGCTCGATCCCCAATCCTTTGGGGGGGGCTCTTACTCGATCTTGGATTCTTCTGCGTTTACCTCCTGCCTCTTCCCCTTCTCTTAGGCACGCCCTGGCGCCGCCGCGCCAGCTGCCCCTTCTCCATCTCCGATCCCGCCGTCATGGTGTCTTCCTATTCCAAACGCCCTTTCAGTTTTTTGCATGAGCCTGGGCACACACGTGCCACTTGTGTATATATATATATATATATATACAAGATTTTACCGGCTCGTTTCGCTTCGCCTTTAAAATCTTGGTCGCATGGCGCCTGGAAAGCTCGCTGCGACCAACTGTGGGGCTTGTTTGGCCTGCTATGTGTCGTGGGCCTCATGGGGGCTCGTGGGGCTCGCGGGGCTTGAAGAGTCATAGTGGTTGCTCGGTGGCCGCGGCTCGCGGACGTCATGGGGCTCATGGAGCGTGAGCTCGTGGGGCCCGTAGGGCTCGTAGGGCTCATGGGGCTCACAGGGCCCATGAGGTCGCAGGGCTCGCGATCGACTCGTGGGGCGTGGGTGGGACGCAAGCGTTCGTGGGCACACAGGGCTCACGGTGCGCGTAGTTTGTGCGGTTCAGAGGGGTCATGGGGCTCACTGGTTTCGCCATGCGCGTGGGGCCTACGGGGTTCCAGGGGTCAATGGGCTTGTGGGACTCGCTGGGTTGGTTGGGGAATAGGGGTCGGACGCCTAAGGGGCGTGTAGGGGTCATGGGCTCCTGGGGCGCATGGGGAGCGTAGGGCTCGTAGGGCTCGTGACCTCGTGGGGCTCTTCGGCCTCGCGGGGCTCGCGCGGTTCGCGCGGCCTTTGAGCTCGGATGACTCGTCGGGCTCGCAGCGCTCACCGGGATGATGGGTTTGTAGGGCGCCCAGGGCTCGTGGGCTCTCTGGGCTCGTAGGCCCGTAGGGCTCGTAGGGCTCGTGGGGCTTGTACGCTCGTAGGGCTTGTGGGGCTCGTAGGGCTCGCAGGGCCCGTAGGCCCGTAGGGCTCGTGAGTTCGTGGGCCTGTAGAGCTCGTAGAGCCCGTAGGTCCGTAGGGCTCGTAGGGCCCGTAGGCCCGTAAGGCTCGTCGGCTTGTAGGCTTGTAGGGCTCGTGAGCTCGTATGCCCGTGAGGCTCGTAGGGCTCGTATGCTCGCAGGGCTCGTGGGGCTTGTGGGCCCGTGGGTCTCGTGGGGCTGACGGGGTTCGTGGGGCTTGTAGGTGTTCGGGTTCTCAGGGCTGAGAGGGCTCATATGGTTGGTAGGGGCTGTAGGGGTAATTGGGGTCGTAGGGCTCGTAGGGCGTACAGGGCAATGGAGGGCTCATGGAGCTCGGAGGGGATATAGGGCACCGCGGGGCTCGTAGATCTCATAGGGCGGATGGGGGTCGCAGGGGCATGAGCCGCCACAGGGGTCGTAGGGCTCATGAGGTCGACAGGGCTCATATGGCTGGTAGGGGTCATAGGGTAATTGAGGTCGTAGGGCTGGTAGGGTTCACGAGGCTTGTAGGCATTAGGGCTCGCAGGACTCATAGGGCTCGCAGAACACATAGGGCACTGCAGGCCTCGTAGGGCTCGTAGGGAAAAGAGAGGTCGCAGGGGTCCCGGGGGTCATAGGGATGTCGGGGCTCATATGGGGTCTTGAGTGTCATAGGGCTCGTAGGGCTCATAAGGCTGAAGGGGTTGATAGGCCTGTAGGTCTCATGGGGGACGACAACGGCGGCGACGAAGACGACGACGGCGACAATGAAGACGAGGACGAGGGGTCGTAGAGCTCATTGAGCTCATATGGCTCTTGGGGCTTATATGGCTCATAGAGTCTTCAAGCTGGAAGGGCTCTGAGGGGGCAGAGAGCAGGAGCCTATGTACGGGGCAGCGTGCGATCGGAGAAAGTGTCGGCTCCTGGACCGAAGCCAAAACATCGGCGACGTAGATGTCCCCCTGGGTGGCGGCGTTGGAAGAAAAAATCATGCGGAGCATGGTAGCGGAAAGCAATGAATATGGCATGTCGGGGCCTTCGTGGGGCTCCTCATGGGGCTCTTTTGGGCTGTCTGGCGGCTCTCCAGGGTTGTCCCGAGGTCCCCCGGGGTGGCGGCGTTGGAGACAGAAACAGTGCGGAGCATGTTAGCGGAAATCAAATAATATGGCATGTCGGGGCCTTCGTGGGGCTCCTTTTGGGACTCTGTTGGGCTGTCTGGCGGCTCTCCGGAATTGTCCCGGGATCCTCTTGGGCCGTCCTGGGGGGATTCGGCCATTTTGGGACATTCTTGGGCGCCTCTTGGGGCCTTCTTGGGGCTCTCTTGGACGCCTTTTGGGGCTTTTGGGGCTGTCTTGGAGCTCTCTTGGGCCGTCTTGGAGCCCTTTTGGGCTGTATTGGGGTCCTCTTGGGGGTATCTTGGGTCGTCCTGGGGCGATCTTGGGGGCCTCTTGGGCCGTCTTGGACGCAGTGAAGGCCACAGAAGCGAATATGGTAAAATTGTAAGTCTCCCGAAGGGAATGGGACGATTTTTGCGTTGTGGGGGTCTCCTTGGGGGCCTCTTGGGGCGTTTTGGGAGCGTCTTGGGCCGTCTTGAAGCCAACCTGAAATCTTTTTGAGCGCTCATGGGCCGTTCTGGAGCGGTCGTGGGCCGTCCTCGGGCTTTGCGGGACCTTCCGGGGATAGCCGGGAGAGGCTCCCGAAGCCGAAATTCGATTTTCACGTCGGTGGGAGCACCCAGGGCCGAATTTATGTACGGGGGGGGGGTCAGGGGGGGCTTTCCGCTATAAGAATATTCGAAGAGGAATATATATCGCCGAGAGATCAAAGATGGGCCTCAGATAGCGAAACTGCACGTCCTGGACTCCTGGACGGAGGGGCGATTGGGGGTCAACGCTCCTCCCCTTGGGACAGTCCTCATCGCTGTCCCTGCTGAGTGGCTCACAGCCCCCGTGACAAACGCTGATGCGGCGTACGGCGGGTTCGTGTCATGACGACCCCAGCGCTGGTTTCTGACACCGCGTGGATCGTTCAACCTTGAACGATCGATGGCTTTTCGATTGCCAGATCGTTCCAGATTGGGTCGATTCTGGGCCACTGGCGGCGTTCAACCTTGAACGCCCGCGGTGGGGTCGCTGCGAGTCGACACGACGCGAACCCCAGCACCATCATCGTCATCAACATTACCATCACCATCAAAATCAGAAGCTCAGCCTCAGCATCATCATCCTAATCATCGTCCGCAACATCTTCATCATCAGCACCATCATCATCAGCAGCAGCATCATCGGCATCAGCATAAGCATCAGCATCAGCATCAGCATCAGCATCAGCATCAGCAGAATCGCCATCAGCATGATCATCATCATCATCATCATCATCATCATCAGCAGCAGCATGATAATCATCATCATCACCAATATCAGCATCAGCATTATCATCATCAGCAGCATCATCATCGTCATCGTCATCGCCATCGTCAGGGATATTATCCTCGCCATCATCGTCGTCAACAGCATCATCATCATCATCATCATCATCATCATCATCATCATCGTCATCATCAGCATCATCAGCAACATCACCATCATCGGTATCCTTATCATCAGCATCATCAGCAGCAGCATCAGCATCAGCATCATGGTCGTCAACGTCGTCATCAGCATCATCATCATCATCATCATCATTATCATCATCATCATCATCATCGGCAACATCAACATCATCATCGTCATAACCGTGATTATCATCATCATCATCATCATCATCAGCATCAGCAGCAGCATGATCATCATCATCATCATCATTATCATCAGCATCATCATCATCATCAACATCATCATCATCATCATAATCAGCAGCATAATCGTCATCCTCATCGTATCATCATCATCATCATCAGCAGCAGCAGCATCAGCATCATCATCAGCGGCAATACTCCCATCATCATCAGCAGCATCATCATCGTCATCATCAGCATCGTCATCATCATCACTATCAGCAACATCACCATCACCATCACAATCAGCAGCTCAGCATCATCATGAGCATCATCGTCAGCATCAGCATCACCATCATCATCAGCAACATCATCATAAGCATCATCAGCATCAGCATCATCCGCATCATCGTCGTCAACATCAGCAGCATAATCATCATCATCATCAGCATCATCATCATCGTCATCGATAACAATAACGATGGCAAGGACGATGACGATGACGATGACGATAATGATGATGGTGATGGCGATTATGACGATGATGATGATGATAACGATGATGATGATGATGATGATGATGATGATGATGATGATGATCGTCATCATTATGATGTTGACTATCATGCTGAGGTTGATGCTGATGGTTATGATAATGATGCTGATGAGGATGCTGACGACGATGATGCTGATGATAAGGCTGATGACGACGAAAATGTGGTATGATGATGCTGGTGCTGCTGCTGATGATGTTTTGCTGCCTCATCAGCATCAGCATCAGCATCAGCATCAGCAACAGTATCAGTATCGTCATCATCAGCAGTACCATCGTTGTCATTGTCAACATCATCATCAGCAAATCATCATCATCATCATCGTCGTCATCATCATCCTCACCATCAGCATCATCGTCATCATCAGCAGTATCATCATCATCATCATCATCATCATCATCATCATCATAATCATCATCATCATCGTCATCATCATCGTCATCGTCATCGTCATCGTCGTCGTCACCGTCGTCATAATCTTCGTCGTCACCAGCACCAGCAGCAGCATCAGCATCATCGTCCCTCGCCCCGCCGGCGCCAAGGGGAAGAGCGCCTTGTGCTCCCATACCCTGTGGATGCTGGCGACCAGCCCAGACGCCCAGGCTAGCATCAGGACGCAGCTCCTCGGAGCGCGCGGGAGAGGCGGCTCGCACAGGCCCCGTCCATCCTCCAGCCTCTCCTCCAAATCCTCCTCCGCCTTCTTCCTCCCTCCTCATTGTCATCCTCCACTTCCACCTCTCTCGTACACCTCGTCCCTCCTTTCTGCACTTCCTTACTCCTCCTCCCTCTCCTGGAAGGAGGACGGCGACGAAGAAGAAGAGCAGAGCAGAGCAACGGCCCGTAGGGAGGCGGCGCGGGTCCTCCTCCCCGGCATTGCGCCGGGCCGGAAAATTGATCAGCGCGGTGTGAAACAAATCGATCAGTGTGGTGTGAAACATATAGGAACATTACAGGCGGGCAAGACAACACAAACCAGCCTGGGCGTGCCACGGGGTACGGCCAGACCCTCCAAGGAGGGAAGGGCAATACCCACGGGCATACCCACGCCAACCTGTGTTCTCCTCAAGGAGCCCGGCACGGAGGAAGAGGAGGAGGGAAGGGAGGACGACGACGACACGAACGAACGAGGAGAGGGCGACAGCATCAATCGCACCAGCGTTTGCGCTGGCCTCCTACGCTTCGTCGTGCGTGCACTCGAAACCACGGCACCCACTTCATCAGACGTGCGCCCCATCGTTCATCTTGCGCTGCAGAAAGTTTGACGGCAGCCGACCACTTGCTTTTCCACAGGATGTCTGCCCAGTCTTGGACCCCGTGTCTGCGTGCGAGTGACTCACACGCGCCCGTTGCCCTGCGTATGTATTCCACCCATTGCTCGTCTGGCTGGCGCCCCACACCAACCATGTGTCGTAGCATCTTCCTCTGCGTTGCGCGAAGGCGCCTCTCCTGCTCGACTGTCAAAGTCCAGGCAGCACAGCCGTACATTGCGCAGGGCGTAACAGTGGCGTGAAAGAGCCTCATGCGATCACGAAGGGGTACGTGTCGATTGCATAGTATACTCTTCTGGCAACAAAAAGATTCCCATGCAGACGAGATGCGGTTGTTCAACTCCTCCCAGTGGTAATCGTCCAAGGTGAACTCGCGGCCGAGGTATTTCTCCGTCTCTCCTGGCTGCATCACTCGCACGTCGTTTCCACTGCACCGGATGGTTGCCGGCCTCGTTGCTGAGTTGGTTACCACCACGGTTTTGCCCATGTGCATTTTCAGGCCGTACTTCTTCGCTTCGGTATCCAGGTCCACGATCATTCGGCCCACGTCTCTCTTATTGGAAGACAGCAGGAGCACGTCGTCGGCGAACCTCAGGTTGCTCAGGGTGTCCGCTGCGTCGTCGACAACAATGCCATAATATTCACCAGTGCGCCTGGCGTTGAGGCTGCCCCACCTCCTTTTGAGAGACCGGAAAATCTGTTCCATGACGACAACGAAGAGAAACGAGCTGATCGGGTCGCCTTGCTTGACACCTCGGAATATGCTGAACGCACGGCTTCGCACCCCCGCAGAAGCACAAGCCGATTGTACAACATACAGCCGTTTGAGTAGGTCAACGTACTCTGGCCGGACACTCTGCTTCTCTAGCGCTGACCAAAGAGTGTCATGTTCTACCGTGTCAAAAGCCTTTTCAAAGTCCACCATGCCAACCCACAGCTCAACATTGTAGTCCCTCGTGGCCTCATGCAGGAACGTGGTGCATATAAGGTGATCCACAGTGCTGTACCCTGGGCGATAGGCCGCCTGGTCGACGGATTGCTCCCGGATCACGTCCTTTCGCAGTCTGCTGCAAATCAGTCTACTGAATAGCTTGTACAAGACGGCGAGAATCGCGATGGGCCTGTAGTTCGACGGAATCGAGGCGTCCCCCTTCTTGTAGAGAACGGAGATTCTGGCCGACAACCCATCCGCGGGCAGTTCAGCAGTAGGGCTCAGCAGCTGGTTGAAAGTTGCAAGGATTATTTCGCGCAAGATCGAGGAGTCTACCTTGAAGAACTCTGCTCGCACGCCGTGGTCATCCGCCGCCTTGCCGTTTTTCATATTCCGAATTGCAGCGGCGAGCTCCTCCTGCGTGAACGGGGGAATCAAGTGGCCAGAGTGCCTGCCGTAGACGTGCTCGCTGCAGCCATGTCTGGTGCTCGCGTAGAGATTATCGAAGAAGGTCGCGAACACCTCGGCGATGTCTTCTCGCTCGTGCAGCAGCGTGCCACCCGGGCCTTTCATCGAGATGATATGGTCGCGCTTGCGGTTCCCCCGCATGCCCTTTAGGTTCTTCACTCCTTTGAAGTCGGCCAGAGTCTGCTTGATCTTGCTGAGCGTGGTCACATTGCGCCGCCGGCGTATCAAACTCTGTATTTGTTTGCCCCAGTCTTTGCGGACCTCTTTTTTTGAGCAAAGCAGGGAGTTCTGATTCTTGCAGACGACGACGTTTGGCAATCAGGGAACGGATCTGCTTGTCCAGATCGGTCATGCTCGCGTCAGACTGATGCTGCCCAGCGTCCTTCTTGTCTTCTCTTGCGGCTAGGAGCATGCTTCTGTTTAGCAAGTCGACTAGTTCATGCGGTGCGGCGTTCTGCCAATCGACATTGCGAAGCCGTTCTTCTAGCAGCGTTATGTATGACGACCCAGGAGACCAAGCATGATGACGTACTTTCCCGTTTGATTTGGTCCGGGATTCTTTGGGCATCTTCAGATCCAAGCGAACCGGCCTGTGATCAGAACCAACGTCGACAACAGCGGACACTGCACAGGAGGATACGAATGCCATTGTTCTCTTCTGCACAAGAATGTAGTCGAGCTGACACTTGCGATCGGCATGTTTGAATGTCCAAGCGTCTTCGAATGCAGCGTTAAAGAATGTGTTCGCAATGGCGTAGCCGTGAAGACCCGACCAATGCACCAGCGTCGCGCCCCTGTCGCTTCGCTGTGGCATAGGGTTCTGGCCGACGACCTCCTCGTCATCGTCCTCTGTGCACGGCCCCACCTCAGCGTTGAAGTCTCCGGCGAAGATCACGTGGAGTCCTTTGGCGTGTGCTTCCCGGCACTGGGCCTCCATCTGGGCATATACTGCCTCCACGTCTTCCTCAGGAAGCTTCGCGTGAGGCATGTAGACAGCCACCGTGCGGATGGTGCCGAAACCGCTTATGCACAAGTCCAGCGACGCCACTCTGTTTGAAACTGGTTGGAAACATTTATGCTCCCACCGCTGGTGTAGCAGAAACCCGACCCCGCATGAGCGCGACGTCCCTCTACTCCCAAACCAATGGTGGCCCTCTTCTAACTCCCAGGCTTCTTTCGGCTCCTCCCTCCAGGTTTCAACGAAAACAATGAGGTCCCAGTGCTGCTCTCCGATCTCTGCTAGACAACGGTGGACACGATCATCAAAATGCATCAAAGAATGGACGTTGTATTGCAAAACTGTGAATTGAAAACTATCATCGATTTTAGGGATCTTATCCGGAATCCTCCTTCGACTGGTACGCGGCGGGCCGCCGCCGGTCTCTGCAGAGAGCAACCCCTAGCCCCGAAGGGCGGCCAGGGCAGTTTCGTCGACCACTTTCGCCTCAGCCTGGACTCCCGCCTGCTTTAAGCTGTCCGGGTCGAGCTGGACTTGGCCGCAGTCGCCGTCCATCTTCCACTCCCCAACCTGCTTCTGGTTCACAAAGATGACGCCTTTCCTGTAGTCAATCCTCACCTTTTTCAGCCGGCGCCCCTCCTATTTCGATTAGGAACCTCTTGTACTTCCCAAGCGCCTTCCCCTTTTTACGCTCTTCCGGGCTCCTCGAAACAGAAACCCACGTCGTCCGGTTACCGATTGTAGGTTTTGGTCTACTGTTGAATTTCCGTAAGAACTCGTACATTAGCTTAGGACTGGTAAACCTTACGAACCCCACGCTCCCGAACTGGTAGGCGTAGGTCTCCTCCACGCCCTCCGCATTCATGGTGATCTGCTTTTCGATGAAGTCGATCACGTCCTTCTTCTCCGTGTCCATCTCGAAGCCCCCGATCACGGCAGTGCGCGCGAACTTGTCCTGCTCCTCCGTCTCCTGTCCGCCCGCCTTCGCCGCCGAGCCTAGGAGGAGCTTCACCGTCTCGGCAATCATGGTTTCCACCTCCGCCTTCGTCAACATCTTCTCGCTCAGATCGCCCATCTGCTCCTCGACGGCCTCCACGCGAGCCATGGCCTCCTCGGCAGCAGCGTTCGCAATGTTCGCCTGAAGCTTGACCATGCTGAGCTCGTCCTTAACCTCTGCGATTTCCTCCTTTACCTCTGCGATCTCCTCCTTCACCTCCTTCATGTTCACCTGCAGGCCCTGCACCATGCTCACAAGCTTGTTCAAGATCTTCCCCTGGTTCACTGCCCACGAAGGTGGTTTCTCCTCCTGGTCCTTCTCATCCACGTCGATCGTCTCGACCTCCACCACCGCCGTCTCACCTTTGCTCTTCTGCCTCTTCGGATCCTTTGGCTTCGGACTCGGACTCGCAGCCGGTGCCGCAGCCGGACTGACAACCAAGGAACGAAGCGCCTCCATGTGTTGCACGCCTCGCTGAAAAGAAGCGCTGAACTGTATGTATGGATGTAGCTGGAAGCTTAAGCTTGGACCCTAAGCCTTAAGCCTTGAGCTTGAGCCAAAATGGCTACGGGGGAGGAGGAGGAGGAGAGGAAGGAGGATGAGAGGGAGGAGGAGAGGGAGGAGGAGCACGAGGAGGAAGAGGAGGACGAAGCCAATGCCAGCGGTCCTGCATAACTTCCACTCGTGCCTCCGCGCGAGAGATACTGACGTCAAAGACGCAGCCCAGGGGGCAATGCCAGCGGTCCTGCACACAGCCATGCCCATGTCTAGGGCACCTCAGGACACAGCCCGTCGGCAGTGGCGGCGGTCCTGGATACTGAGATGGTAGTGACGTTGTCTTACCACTTAGAAGGGTGATGATAATGCCTCCACCCTTAATGGCTGTGTGTTACTGTTGAGCATACAGGGACCAGCTACCCTCAATGGCCGCGCAATCCGCCAGCATCCTCCTCTCCCAAACTCCTCATTACTCCTCTTCGTCCTCTCTCCTCCTCTTCCGA